GCATTTGGCTACCGTAAGAGAGTCCTCCAAACAACTCTGAGTTTCTTTGGGTGGTCTTCCAATCTGGCTGTGTGGGTCAGAATGTCATCCACATAATGCTCAATGTTGGTGGTTTTATGCAATATCTTTCTCATCATGTGACTGAATATCACTGCTAAGTTGACTAATCCAAATGGCTTCCTCTTGAACTGGTAGCATCTATCTGATGTCACCAAGGCTGTCTTCTCTTTATACTATATTTTCATCAGATTCTCCCAATAACATTTAATGAGGTCGATCTTGGAAAAGAACTTGGCCCCATTTAGTTTTACCATAATAGCCTCTGGATTACCCATATGTTCAAAGTCGAACTTCATCACAAGATTAAGCTTCTGGAACTCTATGCAGAAGTGGTTTGAGCCATCTCTCTTCTTCACGATTACCACTAGTGAATAGTAGGCTCAATTTGAAGTCTTAATGATTCCAGCTTCTAACATTGCCCCAACTTCCTGCTTGATCAAGTCTCTCATCATATAGGGCATCTGGTAAGGCTTCACCTTGACTGGATCCATGGTCTCGAGCTTGTGTTGCACATAGTCTATCTTGCCTGGTCTATCTGTGAAGACATCTGCGTACTGGCAAGTTAGATATTGTAGCTTTTTCTTCTGCTTGCCAGTCAGTTCATCACTGATGTTGACATCTTTGTACATCTCATCTCCACCAAGTGGTCTTAAGTCTAGTAGATGTTCATCCTCTATGGCAAAGTCACTATCTTTTGGTTCTCCATCTATGACAGCTACACCTGCCATGTCCATCTGTGCCTCGATATCAGCACCCATTAGGTCTTCTTTCCTCTCAAAGTACCTCTTCAACAGATTGGCATGGTAGATCTTTGTCTTCCCATCCACTTTCACCTTCTAGTACATTCTGTTGAATTCTTTTCATGCACCTCTAAAAAAGGTCTTTTCCACTGCAGGGTGAGTTTGCTGTTATCTGTAGGTAGCAGAACCAAGACCTTCTATACGATCTTGAAACGTCAATCTTTGACCATTTTTGTCATAGAAGTGCTTCTGACTGCTTTGAGCTTGAGTGAGTTGACAGGTCTTCTCCAGTCTGTTTCTGAAGTCTAAGATGCATGATATGTGTTCCTCACTTCTGACTCTTCTTTTCCTGTCCATAGCTCTTTTAGTATCTGTTCATGTGTACAGAAACTCAAAGGGTACAAATCCTGGACTTACTTGTGGGACTTCTTGGTATGCAAATGATACTGCCTGTAGGTACTTGACACAGTCTTGTAGTCTCTCTTGGCACATCTCCTGCATACTCTTCAAAACTGTTGACTCTCTCACAAAGTCCATTACATCTGATTTTATATGGGGTAGTAAAGAGCTACCTAGTACTTATGAGTCTGCACACCTCTTGCATCATTTCTTAGGTAAGCTGGGTCTCTCTGTCACTCAAGACTTCTTTTGGGAAGCCTACTCTGCAGAATGCTTCCAGGAGGGCTTCTGTTACTTTCTCTGTCTCTATCCTTGGCAATGCTATAGCTTCTGGGTAACATGTTGTATAGTCGACTACTGTCAGAGCATACAACTGTCCTTGTCAGATATAGGTGCTAGTGGTCCAATCAAGTCCACAGCTACTCTGCTGAATGGCATTTCTATGAAAAGCATTTCACCCAGTAGCAATTTGGCTACCCTCCCTCAAGGTATTGTCCTTTGGCAGATATCACAAGACCTGCAGAATCTGGTTACATCTCTGATTACCCCAAGCTAATGGAAGTTGCTGGTGATTCTGTCTGCTACCTTCTTTGCTCCTAGGTGTCCTTCCACAATCAACTTGTGAGCCAGCTTTATCACTTGAGTGTGGTATTCTGTTGGTACTGTGATCTGATTAACTTCCCCAGTAGAACTGCCTTGATAGATCTGGTACAGCACTCCCTTTTAATCCTCTATTCTGTAAGTCCTCTTCCCTATGCCTTTGCAGTCCACTTTTTCCCTGGCACTGTCCCAAAGTTTCTGCAATGGAGGGTCTTTCTTCTGTGCTTCCTTCAGTTCCTGTAGACCTACATTCGGTATATCACTTTTCAAAACTTGAAGGGGCTTGATGTCTTACTTGCTCTTTTTCTATTTAGCTCTTTTGGTGACTGCAGATGCCTCATCAGTCTTCTTTCTGTCTGGTGCCTTCATACACATAGCCTCAAGGTTTCCCACATACTATAAAGTGTCCACCTTTATTCTTGCTATGGGAAACTCTCTCACTGTTACATCAATCAGCACACACAAATGTACCTTGCCTGTTATCTGGCCATTAGATACCAAACTGGCCCTCACTGCTGCACGCAGTGTCTCATAGGAATTTAACTTTCTTGTCCCCAACATAGCCTTCACCAATTGGCACATTGTGGTTTTTTGGCACCTCTCCATGTTTTTCACATGCTCCAATCACTACTGGCACTATTGGTCCTTTTGCTAACTTGAGCTGACAATCAACCATGTACTGTTTAATCATGGTGATAGCACTTCCTTCTTGTGGTGAATCTGAAGAGTTGTCTCTATTCTTCTGGCAGCAGCATCTATGGTGACAGTGACTCTTTTCTTGCCAGCACCATCTCTGTAGGTACCTCCAGCTGCTTTATTGATATATCTGCTGTTGCTTGTTGGTGACATACTTGCAGAATCTCGCAGTGTGCCCCATTTTATAACATGTACAGCATCTCTTCTCCCTTTTGTCTGTTGACCTCTTGTCACCTTTGGTGGTATCCTGCTTCTAGTTAGCCACCCCTGGTTTTTGCTTTAACTAGTTCCTCAGTAGGTTCATAGCATTTCAACAAGGCCACTTTTAACTTGTCATAGTCCATGACGTCATCCATGTTATCATACCCACATACACTTGTAGGCCTTTCCTGTGAGAAGTGGGCTGAGACTGACTGCCCAGTCACCATTGTCTCAGTTCCTACTTTGGGCAAATCTTTCATACCTCAACAAGAGAGCATCCATATCATCTTTGTGTTCATCAAGTTTGGGTGGACTAACCCAGACTCAATGTCATTCTTAGGTCCTTCATCTTTTTGTTGGGTGAGTTTTGCAATCTTAATTTGTGCTCTTATTCTCTCTAATTGCAGTCTTTCTTTAC